GTTACCCGGGATACTGAGAAGGCTGAGGTGTTCAACAACTTCTTTGCCTCAGTCTTGACTGGCAAGAGCTCAAGCCACACTGCCCAAGCTGCAGAAGGCAAAGGCAGCGACTGGGAGAAGGAAGAACTGCCAGCTGTAGGAGAAGATCAGGTACGAGACCATCTAAAGAACCTGAAGGTGCACAAGTCCATGGGACCTGTTGAGATGCATCACCTGAGGGAACTGGTGGATGAAGTTGCTAAGCCACTATCCAGCATATTTGAGAAGATCAGTCTGGTGAAGTTCCCGCAGACTGGAAAAGGGGAAACATAGCCCCCATTTTTGAAAAAGGAAATAAAGAAGACCTGGGAAACTACAGGTCAGTCAGTCTCACCTCTGTGCCTGGCAAGATCATGGAGCAGATCCTCCTGGAAACTATGCTAAGGCACATGGAAAACAAGGAGGTGATTGGTGACAGCCAGCATGGCTTCACTAAGGGCAAATTGTGCCTGACAAACTTGGTGGCCTTCTACAATCCCTGAAGGTGTTCCAAGGCCAGGCTGGATGAGGCTTTGAGCAACCTGGGCTAGTGGGAGGTGTCCCTGCCCATGGCAGGGGGTTGGAACTTCAAGGTCCCTTCCAACCCAAACTATTCGATAAGTCCATGATTTTATATATAAAGCATGTTCTATTGGTAAGTAAAGCAAGCTCTCCCCCTTTCAACTGGAGCCAGAGATGAGATCACAGTTCCCCTGCAAACTGTGGAACGTCACCATACTGATCATATCCGATGTACAAGTAGCACAGAAACATGTTAAGAGCTTGTCTTATGAGCCAACTTTAATACATATTTGATAAGAAGAATTGTTTTAATTTCAAAGCTGGGTCTTTTTAAAGTTAGATGCCCAAAAAAAAGGCTGATAACAGCAAATTCACAGATTCTTTTGGTTTAACATTTTTAAATTCTCACCTTTTAAAAATTACTTTTCAAAGCAGAATGACAGCCTGTATTTTCAAATAGGGCCTACTTTATCCATGTAAGAAATGCTGCTTACCTTCATAAATGTTCACACCACAGGACTGAGCAGAACAGTAAAGTTAATATAATCTAAACAAGTCACTAAGGTTCATGTTCTTAATTACTAAGGTAAAGTAAGCAAGCAGCATGTAATTATTATATTTTTCTTGTAATTCAAAGAATAGTGTGAAAAAAATAGTTGCTATCATCCATACTGAACTCCAAGGGAATTATTTAGGTTTGTTCCCTGCCCTGCCCAACCTCCCAAATACCTGATTTCAAGATGTTTCATTGGATAATATAAAAATATAGTACTAAGTGTACATTAACCTCTTTTAAACATGTTTAAGAAATAAATAAAAAAAAACAGCACAGAAATGCTACAGATAAATAGTGCATTAGCCTAAGCAAATTGTCTACCCGAGAATGTTAAGAGCGCAAAGCACTGCATATTCCACTGTAAATGAAACTATCAATTGTTAATGGCTACCCTCAAGCAATTAAACTCTGCTTTTAGTTATAAGGCTGTGTTTAAATTTCAGTATTTTGTAACTATAGCTAAGCTAGCGTTTTGCCTGGTTAGTTCAGATACCAGGATGAGAGTAGCTACAGAAGCAGAGAACTGAGTTTGGTCTATTTTGGCAAAATCTATTCTCTGCTTATATATTAGTTATCTGTAATTCAATTATTCACTGATTTTTTTTCCATGTGCCTCTGAGCAGTTCATAGTCCAGCAGTCTTTAACTTGGCTACACCACAACTTTCCTCCTACAGCCAACCATTTTGTATCTGAAAAGCCGCATCTTCTCTAAAGCACTCTTAGCAAGTCTTTACCTGAGAGAGGTTCCATTGAGCTTGTTGGTTTTGTTGCAATCCATACTTATTTTGTGGGGTGACCATCTGTCCCACCATTCCACCTTGAGGTCCAACGACATTTTGAGGAAGTCCCATCACACCAGTTTGTGTAGCACCAGTAAATCCATTGGGCATTCCCATTCCTACCATCACGCCTGTGCTCTGTCCCATAACTGGCACCGATTGTCCCATCATGTTTCCCATCATCCCAGTTGCTGCAGGCACAGGAACTCCCATGGCTGGAAAGCCTTGGAAATGAGTTGATGGTTGTGTGGTAAATGGCATAGAAGATGATCCCATGAACATACCTGTATCAGAGAAGGGAAGATTTCAGCAAAAGGGTTTTGCGGTTTTCTCCCCCATCCCCATAAATAAGTTAGAAGTGCACCAAAGTAATTTCAAAGGATACCTTTGTCCAGTTGTACGTCATTGCTGTTAATTTAGTTTCTGGTAAAAGTAAGAAACAGCTTAAAACCTCTCAAAGGAAAGGGACTCGCCACCAGAGGTTAACTGGCAAAAAGAGTTTGGCAAATCTCTACGGTGAACCAGAATCTTTAATCGCTGTATTGGAGGTCTTTGTTTTCATACTACCATAGCTAAAATCAAGATATGACAGCTCTGTACTGATCCTGGCAGCCTGCTGTTTGCACAGCAGAGACTTGGACCCTAAGTGATGCATTAGGTGGCAGAAGCTGAATTCACAAATCTTTCAGTAAATTGTATATTTGATAATCTGAACAGCTATAAAGAAATTAAAATCACATACTATTTTTTTCTTTGGATTCTATATTACATTTCAGTAATCTTCTCATTTTTATAAATGGTAAAAATTAAAATATTCATTTGAATATAGGTAGCAGGGTACCCAACCTTAGGTTTTTATTTGTAGGAGAAAACTATTCTAGGTCAAGCTTAAAACAGGACTGCATGGAAACTTTTCCAAAATTATTTACCCGGAGCATTTTGCTGCTGCATGGTCCCTGTGCCATACAGTGATAAGATGGAGTCTTTGGAGAGTTGTTTCTTTGCCGACTCTTCAGATTTGGTTGTTTGCTCAGTGAATAGATCAAGATCTCCGGATGCTGCAGACAAGGTGGCAGCTGCTGGTTTAGTGGAAATGCTCTGGGAAATAAAGGTCAACACAGACTACTGAATGAAACCGGCAAAAGATGTTATGTTAAAAATTTACTGCACATCCTCACTCCTGAACCAAATGAAGTAAATGAAGTAAATGAGGATTTTAAAAGATGTGGCATGACCAAAGACCAAAAAGCAGTACAGATGATACGGAAAGAGCAGCAGACCAGACGGAGGTTACAAACCACACAAAACTAAATCCCTGCCCAGCTCCAGGGTGTACGCATACATATTATTCATTCCTGTTGCTTCTACATTTTTCATCAGTGAGAAGCATAAATCATGAGCTGTAGTTATATTATGAAAAATAATTAGTAAATCAGTAAGGAGATTACAATTCACATCTCATTAATCGTTTCATAGGCGGAATAGATTAGAGAAGAGCTAAAACAAAAGATTAAGTGCTTTGGAATATACTACTACAATTAAGAGGAACACTGTTTTTGGAGAAAAGGCAATTTCAGTTGATCTACTTAAAGTAATATAATTTCTAAAATATATTGTTTTTAATTGGCTTATGGTTCTTTAAGCACATTTCATTTATTGAGAAATCATTATTATCTAACACTTACTGTAGACTAAAACTGAAAAACTAGAACACCTGCAGGCTGTCAGGCTTCTTTACTGCTCTTGCACCAAAATGTTTTGTAAACAAATAACATCCAGGTGTCTTTCAGTGCTGTTATCTTGCTGCTCATACACACCAAGTTCCATACGGAGGCTTGCTTAGGCAACTAGGCAATACACTGTGTTCTTTTTAAATACACAACTCATCCTGTTACCGGGGGAACTTTCAATGCAAATAAACTGTATACACATTGAAAAAGAGCCAGCATTACAACACATACTTAAATTTTATCCTTATTTTAGTCCAGGTAAAAGATAATCACAGAATGTTAGAGATGGGAAGGGACCTCGAAAGATCATCTAGTCCAATCCCCCTGCCGGAGCAGGACACCTAGATCAGATCCCACAGGAACGCATCCAGGCGGGCTTTGAATGTCTCCAGAGAAGGAGACTCCACACCCTCTCTGGGCAGCCTGTTCCAGTGCTCTGTCACCCTCACTGTAAAGAAGTTTTTTCTCATATTCAAGTGGAACCTCCTATGTTCCAGCTTGAACCCATTGCCCCTTGTCCTATCACTAGATGTCACAGAGAAGAGCCTGGCTCCATCCTCCTGACACTCACCCTTCACGTATTTATAAACATTAATTAGGTCACCCCTCAGTCTCCTCTTTTCCAGGCTCAAGAGACCCAGCTCCCTCAGCCTTTCCTCAGCAGGGAGATGCTCCATTCCCTTCATCATCTTCGTGGCTCTGCGCTGGACTCTCTCCAGCAGTTCCCTGTCCCTCTGGAACTGAGGGGCCCAGAACTGGACACAATATTCCAGATGCGGTCTCACCAGGGCAGAGTAGAGGGGGAGGAGAACCTCTCTCGACCTACTGACCACCCCCCTTCTGATACACCCCAGGATGCCATTGGCCTTCTTGGCCACGAGGGCACAGTGCTGGCTCATCCCCAACCGCTCAGCATACACCTGCCTCATCCCACAGCACGCCCGAGTTTCCACTCGGAAAATCCTCCTTGCACTACGACCACGGATGGACTGGATCTACAATCAGGTCCATCTGTTTACTGTCATTGCATCCCAAAATGTATCAGACAGACAGAAGCCAGCACAACATATGCAGACATGGTAACACACCTGTATTCCTGCGGAAAGCAACAACCCCCCACCTTCC